GTGTTCGCAGAGCGTCTCCTGCGCACGCGCAGGAGACACTCTTGCACTTTCGGGGGGATTTTAACATCCCCCCGAATTTTTTAAAAACTTTTTTAATTTTGTGCACACGTGGGGACTAGCCCACGTGTGCACAAACCTCCCCCAGCCCCCCAGCTGCCCCCTCCGTGCTGATTTAAGTATCCGCACGGAGGGGGCAAGTTGGGAATTAGATATATAGATTAGAATGTTTCATGGAGGTCAGATCTTTTCCTCGGCCTTCTCTCTCATGATAGAACCGCACCGAGTGAGGAGTTTTATACAAGTGAAGCTCATAAATACTTGACGGATTGTGATCAGTGTTATCACTGAGATTTTAACATCCCCCCGAATTTTTTAAAAACTTTTTTAATTTTGTGCACACGTGGGGACTAGCCCACGTGTGCACAAACCTCCCCCAGCCCCCCAGCTGCCCCCTCCGTGCTGATTTAAGTATCCGCACGGAGGGGGCAAGTTGGGAATTAGATATATAGATTAGAATGTTTCATGGAGGTCAGATCTTTTCCTCGGCCTTCTCTCTCATGATAGAACCGCACTGAGTGAGGAGTTTTATACAAGTGAAGCTCATAAATACTTGACGGATTGTGATCAGTGTTATCACTGAGAATCCAAAACAAACAGCCGGTGCCTTTTACCGGCAGCTCTGCCTGCCAAAATCAGCACATCTGTCTTCTGTTAAGAGACACGGGAACCAGCGAAGGAGTTGCCAACCCAATTTGGGATGATAAATAAAAATCATTAAGTTTGATGACTTATTTATTTATTCAATTTCTATACCGCTCAATCCTGGAGGCTCTGAGCGGTTTACATAGGCATATTATACTTCCTAGCTAGGGCCGCAATGTATATGGGGGAGGTGAGTGCCTACCAGGCACCCTGCCGGCTTGTTCTTTCTTCTTCCTGCGTCTTCGTGGTGGGTTCTATCTCGGCGCGGCTCCGTGGCGGCTCCTTCTGGGCTAGTTCCATAGTCCGCGACTGTGCGACAACTGCTGCACCGGCCTCTGTCCGATTGGCTCCGGCCGTGCTGCGTCGCTGCGTCTCTGGACCAGTCCCCGCCCGGAACGTCTGCAGCTTGATGTTGGTTTCACCGCCATGTTCTTTTTGCCGGATTGCCGCTGTCATCTGCCGCCACCACAGTTCCTCCTCGCCGCTACTGCGCCGGAAGGCGGGTGCCCCCCTGCACCTAAGGCTAGGCTTTCGAACCACTGGGTAGGCGGGAGCTAGAACATGGGCCAGGAGCTCACCCCGACCGCGGTGGGACTCGAACAGCCTAAGGCAGTTGATGGATTACCTTTGCAGGCATTTTACTGCCTGCGCCACCGCTCCTTAGCTTGATCACAATCCATGATTCACGCTCAGTGTCTGGAAGTGGGCTACTCACAATGACTCCTGGGTATAACAGGTGCATGAACACTCAACACCATGATGTCTTGGCATCACAAGACCAAGCCGCTCTGGAAGGTGCACAACTTTTGAACCCAAGCATGTTTCTACAGGAGAGTTTAACCACCCTTCGCTCGCACACGGCATTGTTTTATTGCAGTAATCTCTTACGAAATCCCGGACTATGCGCCTTCCATGAGTCAATACTGTTCTGTAGATATTATTAATTATATTTGTGTTACTAAGTATATCTGCCCACAGCCTTCCCTTCCCTGTCAATTATTAACTGCAGCAAAAGCAAAGTATATAAACTATTTGCCAAAAAAAAAAAACTCTCACAGCTTCTCTCAGAAATTCACATGAAGAAGAAGCGATTGGATTTATACCCCACCCTTCACTACCCAAGGGAGTCTCAGAGCGGCTTACAAACTCCTTTCCCTTCCCCTCCCCACAACAGACACCCTGTGAGGTAGGCGGGGCTGAGAGAGCTCTTGACAGAAACTGCTCTTTTTTCAAGAAGAAGAAGAAGAAGAGAAGAATAGATTGGATTTATACCCCGCCCTTCACTACCCAAAGGTGTCTCAGAGCGGCTTACAAACTCCTTTCCCTTCCCCTGCCCACAACGGACACCCTGTGAGGTAGGTGGGGCCGAGAGAGCTCTTGACAGAAACTGCTCTTTTTTCAAGAAGAAGAAGAAGAAGAGAAGAATAGATTGGATTTATACCCCGCCCTTCACTACCCAAAGGTGTCTCAGAGCGGCTTACAAACTCCTTTCCCTTCCCCTGCCCACAACGGACACCCTGTGAGGTAGGTGGGGCCGAGAGAGTTCTTGACAGAAACTGCTCTTTTTTCAAGAAGAAGAAGAAGAAGAGAAGAATAGATTGGATTTATACCCCACCCTTCACTACCCAAAGGTGTCTCAGAGCAGCTTACAAACTCCTTTCCCTTCCCCCTCCCCACAACAGACACCCTGTGAGGTCGGTGGGGCTGACAGAGCTCTTGACAGAAACTGCTCTTTTTTCAAGAAGAAGAAGAGACTGGATTTATACTCCGCCCTTCACTACCCAAAGGAGTCTCAGAGCGGCTTACAAACTCCTTTCCCTTCCCCCTCCCCACAACAGACACCCTGTGAGGTCGGTGGGGCTGACAGAGCTCTTGACAGAAACTGCTCTTTTTCAAGAACAGCTCTTATCAGAACTATGGCTTGCCCAAGGTCATCCAGCAGGTGCAAGTGGAGGAGTGGGGAATCAAACCCGGTTCACCCAAATTAGAGTCCACGCACTTAACCACTCCACCAAACTGGCTCTCATGGGAGAGTTTGAGAACTAGGAGGAGCAAATATCACCCTCATACAGGAAGGAAGGGCCTGACCTGGATAGTCCAAGCTAGCCTGACCTTATCAGATCTTGAAAGCTAAGCAGGGTCAGCCCTGGTTAGTATTTGGATGGGAGACCTCCAAGGAAGTCCACGGTCGCTATGCAAAGGCAGGCAATGGCAAACCACTTCTGAAGTCTCTTGCCTTGAAAACTGCATGGTGTTGCCGTAAGTCAGCCGCAACTTGATGGCAAAAAAGGTAAGGAAAAAGATCTAGAAACTCAAAGCCTGCAAGTTCCTCTTCTGCACTGAAGCACAGCTGTTCTAGGGCCCCGGTCACACGGCAAAGTTGCTGCAGGAGAGGCACGGGAGTGCAGCGGATTTTCCGGGCGCGATCTCACCCCAACATCTGGGAAGCGCAGTGCTCCCGTGGCGAACCCGCGGGTCCCCGCCGAAGGTGCGGAGTTAAGAACTAGTACCTACGAGGTACTAGTTTCCAGAAACCGAGGGCCAAGGGCGGGCGTCTGATCGCGTTCCCGGTGGACTTACGTGGCATCCGGCGCCTGCCACTGTTCGTCTCTGTAGCTTGCGCAACAGCGCATGCGCACAAAGAGCGATTGCCAGTGCGATCGCGCGGCACAGCTTCTGTGCCGCGCTGCAGGATACCCGTCTAATCGGCATTTCCCCCGAACCACGGGACCTCGACGTGTGCTTAGGCAGCCACGGGTTAGTTTCCTCCGGGGCATTTAGCCACGCCTCCCCCCTGCGATATCCGGCCCGTGTGACGGGGGCCTAAGTTGATTTCCTGCTGTTGCTTTAATTAGCTATTTGGCATTAACAGGATTTGGTTGCAAAGTGGTCTTTTGGGGAATGAACGAGACAGAAGAGAAGAGCTTTCTATTAGCTGGAATGGGCCTATGATGATCCTTATGAGAAAAGGATGTTCTGTAGAACATGTTTGGTCTCCTACCTTGTTAATTCTGAATGGCCTTTCCTTTGTGTGATCCTGGAGGAACTGGTTTGCCCAGTTTCCCTTGAAGTAGATGGCATTCACCAAGACCAGCTTGGTCAGAGAGTCAACTAATCCATCAGGGAGCAGGTTTTTGATTTTACCTTTAAGAGAGATTAAACTGCTATTAAATTCCCCATTTTTAAAAAACAAACAAACAAACCAGTAATACTGTAAACCTCTACCAAAAACAGAACATTTCTAGGAGGTCAGCTTTATTTTTAAAAGCAAATATGGAAATAAAGCGAATTACTCACCTGCTGTCTTTTCTTCTACCCAGGAATTTATGTGTCTTCTAGAATCATCTGGTTTTGCAACAAAGTTAAGTCTCTCTAAACCTGCGTGGTAAAACTTCTCACATGCATCTGTAAAAGTCTTAAAACAAGCAGAGCTCTTTTAGTGCCAGAATGCTTTAGAAGATGAACCTAACCTCATAAGAACATAAGAGAAGCCATGTTGGATCAGGCCAATGGCCCATCCAGTTGTCACAGTGACCAAAACCCAGGTACCATCAGGAGGTCCACCAGCAGGGCTAGAACTCCAGAAGCCCTCCCACTCTTGCCTCCCAAGCACCAAGCAGACAGAGCATCACTGCCCCAGACAGAGTGTTCCATCTATACCTTGTGGTCCCAGCTACACCTTGTCACTAGAGTTCAGGTCACAAAAAACAACAGCAGGATTTTTATTCCACCCGCAGTACCAAAAGGTCTAAAAAGTTACTGGCATTCTTAATTTATTGCTGCAGATATAAACCAGCAAGCTGACTTACTAGCATGGTTCAGATGTATTTATTTCTTATTTATAGTCCATCCTACTCGCTGGGACTCAAGGTGGATTACACAAAGTGAGTCCATACAACCAACAAGATGGGACATTCAATAAACAATGAAATAGGATTTGGGCTGCAGACCCAACCAGAAGTCTAAGAAACGGAACTGAAGCAAAGCATAAGTTTTAACATGACACATTAAATGATGGAAAACCCCACAACCCACAGCAAACTATGCACAGTAGTACAGACCACAACCTCTGCTCCCTCTAGGCTGTGGAGTCTTGTAAGCAAAAATTCTACTTTGTGAGCTACTGGCACTAAAGCTGTGAGTGAGCGATTTGGCTGCTGCATACATCAGTTTGCTCTGGAGCCCTCCTTCCTGAGCGAAGACAAAAGTGTGTGAGCCAGAAGCTAAAAGCCTGTGAGCTAGCTCACACTGACTCAGCTTAGGGGGAACACTGACCACAGTCCCTAATGATTCATACAAGTAACTGTGTGAATCATTTGTACAGTGCCTACCCTACTGCCTGTGCAGAAAAGCCGTCTTGAATGCTTCATAGTTTGCAGAAAGCCAGGAGAGCAAGAGCCTTCCTGACCTCCTCAGGCAGGACATTTCACAAGGTGGGGGGCCACCACGGAGAAGACACGTGTGTGGGCAGCTGTTGATTTTGCCCACTTGTAAGTGGGGAATAGCGGAAGGCCTTGCTTGGATGACTGAAGAGCACAGGGGGAGAAACAGTCTCGCAGATATGAGGGTCCAAGCCCGTGACAGCCAATATTTTATTTATTTATTTAAATTTATAACCCGCCCTCCCCGCAAATGGGGCGGCGTACAGATGGGGCCAACGCCCAATACATAAAACATTAAAACTGCATTTTAAAAACATTCAGTACAACATAAGTGCTCTCCACAACAAGTAACAAGGGAACAGATGACGTCACCAGGATGGTATCCTTAGTGGCCACAGCTCCACGCAGTACCACCATTTTCCTGCTCACGGCGAGTTGGTAATAAGGGCTAGGACAGATAGTAATAGTCGTAGACAGATGGCAACAGTCGGGGCGGCTCCTACTCAAACGCCTGGCGGAAGAGCTCCGTCTTGCAGGCCCTGCGGAACTGTGCAAGGTCCTGCAGGGCCCGGATCTCCTCTGGGAGCTCATTCCACCTGGTAGGAGCCGCCACCGAAAAGCCCTAGCCCTAGTCGTCGCTAGTCTGGCCTCTGTGGTACCTGGAACCACCAGGAGATGTTTAGACCCGGACCGTAGTGTTCGTTGGGGAACACTTAATTTAAAAAAATTAAGACCAGTAACTGATGGGCAGCCAGTGGAGTCCCTGTAGAAAAGGAGTAATGTGCATGCTCTGTGTAATAAGAAACCATGGTTTAATTAAACTAACTGAAAAGTACGCAGTCAGAGAGTGATTTCAGCAAAGCGTACTTTATTCGATCAGGAACAAGACGACCTGGGCCGGCTCGGGGGCCGGCTTATATCCCCCGAGAAACCGCCACCCAAAACACACCCCTACTACCTAATAAGTTATTTACAGTGGCCGAGAGTCCCATAGGCTCGCGGCCGGGAACCTAGCCACCTGATTGGGGCAGGCTAGGATCCGCATAGTCCATTGTCTCTCTGAGCGAAGCGCGACATTTGGGTCTGACCACGTGGAGCCCAAGCCGGCCACGCGGTCTGGACTGGATACGTTACACTAACCACAGTTAATCGTGCATCTAAACCCATGCCGACACACTATATTTCTCTTTGCATTAGAACTAGATTGTGTGCGTGTGATGGACAGATTAGGTTCTTCCTCCCCCGAAGAGTGAAGAATGGGAGCTGATGGACTATTAGGAAGAGAGACAGTTGGAAAAGAGCAGTTAAGGGAGTTGAAGACCAGAGTAAGGAAGTTGAGAGTGGGTCTGGCTCAGTGAAACTGTGGAGAAAGAGCTACTTAAAGCTAACAGGGGGAGAGTCAATCGTAACAAAAGATTCCAAATGCTGGAACAGGGAAGCGGTACAAATTTTCAATGGGAAAGAAAATTTGTAACCTCTACCTGACTTCTTCAGTGTTCAAACCTTAAATAAAAGTTAACTCCTTGTTTGTTTAACCCTGTGGGCTGGTTGTCTTGGTGACCGAAAAACACACACACAAGCTAAGATCTTGGTCTATACGTATTTTCACTCCGGGATTAAAGAAAGGGTGAAGTTGCAGTCTTGATGAGGGACAAAAGAATGTAACTCAACACGTTCTTCTGGTGAGCAGGACCCGCATTCAGAAGCCATTCTCCCATCGTGCAGACAGAAAGCAAAACTTACTGTGAGGAAGTCGTACGTTGCTTCTCCATAAAGCCTGTTGGCCAATCTAAGTAAGTATTTGGTGCCCGGTTTGTTGATTTCAGAAATCAGTTGCTGGTGTCCCTGGTGGATCTCTTCAGTTTTGTCCACAGACAGCACCTACAGGGTGATGATATTATTATTATTTGAGTGGTTACATTTTCAACTGATACCTTTGGATTGTCAATACCGGTCCAAGGAGGACATTGTTTACAAAACCTTAAGGATAAAGAAAAGCTCAGGATCTTCCAGCAAGCCAGGTGGACACAGACCAAATACCTGATTAAATACAGTCTTTCCAGCTTTATTTACTTTTGTTCCAGTAGTTGCAGTTCAAAACAGACGAGATTTGTTAGTGACAATGATAAAGAGGCAAGAGTATACCCCAGGCCCTGTTCCAGCCTTTGTAAGACATGTAGCGCTGAAGAGTTTAGAAGGGAAGCCATCGCCTAAGGACCAATCGTTTACAACAACATCACAAATGCAGCATTGCCTGCCCACTTCCACCATTTATAGTTCTTTGATTTCCATTTTGTAAAAGGAAACAGCGTTTACTGTATAGATTTATATATCAGTCAGCTTAAGGGGTATCTAAAAAAGCGGTTAATCAACAAGTTGTGTGCTACACAGGGATACAAAAGTTCAAATAGTGGAGGCTAATAAATGCAGGCATTCCATTTTGATGGGAATAAGAGTTTGTTCCCTTTGTGGCCAACAACAAATCAAAATCCGGCACTATTGGTCCAAGTTAGACACACGGTGAAAGATTGGACTTTGGCTGATGGCTTCCTTCACAGCAAAGCTTCCAGCCACCATTCTGAAAATATGACTTTGGTTTAAACTTCTACCACAGGGTGTTCCAGCTGTTTTTGTTGGTGCGTGGAAGCGATATTAGATGGCCATACAGAACGGACTTTCTGCTGCTCCGTATCACAGGATATTTTGCTTTTCTCCCCTTTAGACTGAGATTTTTCATCCAGGGTGACCCGAAGTACCTGGTAGAAAATGGTTAATACAAAGTATTGGGGGGGGGGGGGGACCAAAAAAAAAAAACAAATCCTCCTAATTTTTAGAAAATCTTAATGCCCCCTATTGTAATTCTAATTTGTAGATGTTTTATTTCCATTACTTTTATCTTCTGAAACGAGATAATCTTCACAACAGGTTATCCATTCTGTCTAAATATACTATTAAGAATTCCACCTAAATATAGCATTCAGCAACAATGTACATTTTTTTTTCTTACATGTTTTTAGCTAACATTTACTATACAGGTCTCCAAGAATTTCTACCGCAAGCTCATACTTCTAGACAATGCAAGTCATCTCGGACTCAACAGCAAAATGTGTGCGGGTGCATGCCATTTTCAAACAAGGTCCATGTTCTTCTGTTTAATGGTACCTTGGAGAGTGCCATTTCTGTTCTGCTACTGTCTGAGCTGATCCCACAATGCATCTGAAGTTCGATTCTGGGCAGTATTAATCCAGGTGAACAAACTCTGATGAGCAACCTGCTTGCCCAGAGCTCAGGAGACTGGGAAGCCAAGTTGACCACAGAACCGTACAACTAACAGAACAGAAAAGGTTCAAGATTCACTGCATGGGCATACATTTCAGCCTTATTCCATGTGCTCCAAGTAAAGGATCCCTCCAGCTACAGGGTTCTCTGGATGTGGGATTAAAAACACTGTCTGTCTATAGTATTGTAAAATTCTGTGTGTGTGTGTGTGTGTGTGTGTGTGTGTGTGTGTGTGTGTAAAATCTAGGGGCAAACACCTGGCAGGATGGGATACAAGCATGCAGTTTGGGGCAACCCAAGTTCTTTGCAAGCCTAGCCTACATAGGGGTCACAAGTCAAATTCAAGAATGCAACATTATCTCCACCGTAGCCAGCCACGGCTTGAATTTATGCAAGATACGAACATTCCCCCAAGGAACTAACAGGCCCAAAGCTGAGACATTCAAAACATCCTCTGGTCCGGCTCTCGTCAGAATTTCAGATCATTCTGTCCTAAACTTGCTTATTCGAAATAAAATGAGATTTACTAGAGATTGGGGAGGCAGTTTTAGGTGCACACTATGCCCCTAACATCACAGCTTGGCCATTTAAAAGGAGAAAGCACTAACTGCAACCTTTCTTTTCCTTAATAGCACTTGTCTGGACTTACCTTTGACATCTGGGCTGCAGTATTGCCTTCTGCACCCAGAAGGACCATTGCCAGAGCAGAAGTAATGCTCATTGGGGAAAAAAACAAGTTCTTTTTAGGATCATCTTCACTCAGCTTCTTGTAAAGGTCAAGGGCAAAGGCAGTATTGGCTGCAGCGACACAGTCCATGTTGCAGAACCTACAAAAGAAAGCACAGACGTCAGTTCTGGGACAACTTCAGCAAATGATTTGGTTGTCTGAATTTCACCCCTCTGCCAATAAAGGCCCATCAGCCCATGGTTTCCATCACTCAAATGTTTGCCAAAATGTCTTCTCATGTGGGAAAAGCTACAGCCCTAAGCAGAGAACCCGAGGCAGGGACCATTCTGGGAAAACCGTGGCACACATTGATCTGTTAAAGCACCCAAAAGAGAAAAAAGAATACTGCAGCACTTTTAATTTTTTAAAATTTTAATCCACTTATATCCTGCCTTTCTCACCTAGGTAAAGGTTCCCTTGCTCGAAAGCCAGTCGAGTCCCACTCTAGGATTGCAGTGCTCATCTCCGTTTCCAAGCCGAAGAGCCAGCGCTGTCCGAAGATGTTTCCGTGGTCATGTGGCCGGCATGACTAAACACCAAGGCGCACGGAACGCTGTTACCTTCCCACCGAAGTGGTACCTATTTATCTATTTGCAATTTCTTGCTTTCGAACTGCTGCATTGGCAGGAGCTGGAACTAGAGACGGGGGCTCACTCCGTCATGTGGCAACTTGGGTCTCGAACTGCTGAACTACTGACCTTCCACAGCCTGCAGTTCAGAGTCTTAACCACTTGAGCCACCGCAGCTCCCTTTCTCCCCTATGGGGGACCTAAAGTGACTTATATCATTCTCCTCCCCATCATTTTATCCTCCCAACCACCCCGTGAGGCAGGTTAGGCTGAGAGAGTGTGCTGGCCGAAGGTCACCCAGTGAGCTGGGCCTCCTGCATACTAGTCTGACCCTCTTAAACCACTACATCACACTAGCCGATCAATCTTCCCTGAAACTGTGCAAACGTTTTAATGGACTGCTTGGTAAGGAGTTGTCAGTAACGTCCCATTCACTGATGTATGTTTTTTGTGTACTGCAACGGCACATGTAGGCTTGCCAGCCCCCCGGGGTGGGCGGGGGATGACCCGCTTTGGTGGGCTCGGCCCTTCTGCTAGCCAGCTGGTGGTCAGGGGAAACCCCACCCCCAAAAAAGACATCTCTCGGTGACATCATCGATGTGATGTTGTCACTTCTGGAAGTGACATCTTCAAGTCGGCAATGTCGGGGGCGATGCTCTACTTTGGGGGGCAAAATTCATTTTAGCCATAGAGTTTTGCCCCAAAAAGTAGAGCCTTGCCCTGACGTCACTTCTGGAAGTGACGTCATCATGTTGACAACATCCCCGCCCACACGCGGAATGCCCCCGAAATCACCCCGCCAGCAGCAGGTAAGGAGTACCTGGCAACCTTATACACAAGTTCAGTTATGTTAGGAAAAACTGGGCATGTCTTGATATGTATAAGCAAGATTGCTTGTAAATGAATGGATAGACTAATCTCCTGCAGTAATCACTCTCTTACACATTCACACTTGTTAGAATGGTGCTATTGTTACAAATAAATACATGCATTTTTACAGACAGAGTTTGCATAGCTGCGGTGGCTCAAGTGGTTAAGACGCTGAACTGCAGGCTGTGGAAGGTCAGTAGTTCAGCAGTTCGAGACCCGGATGCCGCATGACGGAGTGAGCTCCCGTCTCTTGTTCCAGCTCCTGCCAACCTAGCAGTTTGAAAGCAAGAAATTGCAAGTAGATAAATAGGTACCACTTTGGTGGGAAGGTAACAGCGTTCTGTGCGCCTTGGTGTTTAGTCATGCCGGCCACATGACCACGGAAACGTCGTCAGACAGCGCTGGCTCTTCGGCTTGGAAACGGATATGAGCACTGCATCCCTAGAGTGTGTGTGTGTGTGTGTGTGTATATATATATATATACACACACACACACACATATATATATATATATACACATATATATATACACACACACATATATATATATACACACACACACACACATATATATATATACACACACACACATACATACATATATATATATAGAGAGAGAGAGAGAGAGAGAGTGTTTTAATTGTTGGCCCTCTACTCTGTTTGACTTACCTTTTTCAGGTTCTTGATCCTAGATTTCAGGGTTACATTTGTTTCCCTTTCTTTGTTCGTAGTGCAAAGGGAAGAGTTCACCATACATTCACTGTGGAACAAGTTTGATTTGGGACTACAGCACGCTTGTGTGTCTAATAAAGTGGGCTCTAATCCACAACAAACCCATTCGTTCCTCATATTTCTTTAAGGCAGAGACAGCAATCAGCAGTCAGTCGTGTGCAAAAATTATTACGCTGGGTCCCGATATGCTCAGGAGACAGGCGGTTATAGAAATGTTTTGAACAAAAGAAACAAAACTTCAGGGGGAAATTAATGTACTCTCACTAATTGCTAGTACAACACAAACACACTAGTTTCTTGCACACCGTTAATCATTTCCCGAATTTTAAGGAAGGAGAAATATAAAGACATTCTATTAGGAGAAGTCTACTCCCACCCACATAACTGGAATTTTTTTAAAAAAATATTGCTAACTAGAACAACAACAGCAAAGGTCACGAAACCTAACAACGGTTGCACTTCCACTAGTGGCTATGGCAAAGAATGCCTGTAGTCATTCTTACTTCTCTCGCCTGCACTGCAGCCTGGGAATAAACCTCAAAGAATGGCACAGATACAGTGCAACAAACAAAAAAGGAGGGGAAGGGGAAAGAAAAAAGAAGGGGGGGGGAAGAAGGAAAACTCAACCCAAAAAGCTGCTATGAATCCACAAGGGTTAACCTGACACTAAATATAATACAAGTACAAAATTTATTCAGGTGTACACATTTTTAAAAAACTTAGACCCATTAAAAATATTCACATTCAGACATTCATTCCCTTTCATATTTAGAATTATTGGTGGACTATAATTGGCTTTACCTGAGGCCTATCTTATATAACAACAGTAAACATATAAATATATAAGGTAATTTTTATTCTTCATATAGTATTTTTCAATTAGTAGAAATATATATACATGGGAAACTATAATGAATTTTTCTTTGTTTCCTTTTCCCCTTGTTTCTTTCTGTAATAAATATTCAGGATACAATATTTGGCCTTATACTGCATATGTATTTAACATCTTATGTAAAAAAATTTTTTGAATGTATGTCAAGTTTGTATTTTGGATTGTGACCACTGAGGAAGGCCCCTAGGGGCCGAAACGCGTTTGGTTCAGTTGCACAGCACTAACCCATCTATGTATGAGTGTTGAGAAGTTTTTTATGTCTGAATGTGAATATTTTTAATGGGTCTAAGTTTTTTAAAAATGTGTACACCTGAATAAATTTTGTACCTGTATTATATTTAGTGTCAGGTTAACCCTTGTGGATTCATAACAGACACAGTGCAAACCAGTTTCCCGTTCAAGCTCTTTCCCATGTTACTGCAGCAAGCCCTAGTGCTTGCCACCTTGCAAACAAAGAGATGTGCATTCCTGAACACCTTGTCCTATAGGAGCATGCCTCCCCTTCACCCTTTGTGCATTTACTGCAGCAAGCACTAGTGAACTCCAGTGCAGTCTCTCTGACACATGGATTATGGAGTGGCTTTCGTCAATGACTACCTATTCCTTTTTATTTGGCAATTCCAGGAAAACTGCTTTCTAATACAATAGCGAATCTGAGTTTTACAAGCAATTAGAATATACACACATTTGTCCCAGGCAGTATTAAATAACTTACGCAGATAAGATCTACAGTGGTTTTCCAAATTGCCTGTAGTCAGACATTCTGGGATCTCTCTGTTCTTATGCTGAGGCTGGAATCTATGTTGCTCACACATATTTAACTTCAAAATATTCATTAATCCAAATCTGTCACCTCAGCTGAGCACATCCACGATGAAACCTTCCCTTTGCACCATTCTAACTTGTGTGAATGTGTAATGGGAGTGATTATTGCAAAAGATTAGTCTATCCATACTTATTTACTTTGCAATAGACAAGCAAATCTTGGCCAGAGATATGGAGGGACGCCCAGTTTCTCTAACATAACTGAACTTGTGCAGCGGTAGGACAAAAAACACACATACACTAGAGCCACTGGGAAAGTTGCTGACAACTCCTTGCCAAACAGTAAATTAAACTGTTTGCATAGCTTCAGGGGAAACCGATCGTGTATACTGTCCTGCGTCTGATTAAAAATCTACAGAAGTGAAAAGAATCTGTTCCCTAATGCGAATGGCTAACAGAGAATACCAGGGGAGGCCCTTTAGGGCAGGGGTGTCAAACATGTGTCCCGGGGGCTGGATCAGTACCCCGGAGGGCTTCTATCAGGCCCGCAGTGAAACTGGATGTCTTCTGCTTCTTCTTCCAGCTCTGCTGCTGCTGCGTCATCGTAAGTTTGCAGCTTACAGATACACACCTGAACAGCCTACTCAAGACTGCAACAGCACAGACATTTTGATGCAATAATTCAGAGCAAGAGGTGTCAGTTATCAGACGCTGTTAAATAAAGAAAATAATGCAAGAGTGCTAATGTTTTAAGTATGTTTTTAAGTTTTAAAAAAGCCATTTGTGTTTGTATCCTTTGTAAAGTTTATACCGCTGCTACCTGGCATTACATTTTATGACACATGTGGCCCGGCCCGACAAGGTCTCATTTATGTCACACACACACACACACACACACACTGCAGGACATCCACACTGGAACATTTTCTCGGCGCAGAGGTGGAAGGATGAGAAGCTCACCTGCTCAACACTTGTTAGGTGTGCAAGTGCAGAGACTAAGGAGGGTTGCCAGGGAGGAGACAAAATGGCAACTGAGCACATGTTTCTCTGAAACTACCTCATGCCACTTGAGAAACAGAAGTCTGGCAGGTGTTTCTTCTCAGGGCAAAGAGAAGCCAGACCTTCAGAAATGCTCCAGGCCGTGCCTCTTGGGATATAGCAATATCTTCCGTATAAAGAAGACGAAGAAGCTCCTGCGGAGGCCAGAAGACTGTAGCAAGCTAGACAACACTGTAGGGGGAGTGCGGCCTTTCTAAAGGGGCTTTTCCTCGT